CTCACGCAGCACGCATACAGGCGATAACGGTACATCACACCTTGACGATCAGGTTCATAACCCGTCACATTTTGACTCTTCTTTAGCCATGGCACCTACAAATGTTGTGCAAAATCTACCAGAGAAACCAACCCTAAAAGGAAATAAGAAAAAAGTGCATTTGGAAAACGAAAATGACAATGACAAAAAGTCTCAAACCTCCCACAAAAGAATTGCACAACACAATGTAAGGGTGTTAACGGTCCTTCACAGGTGACTGACCAAGCACACAATCTACCTGACAGTATACCGACCGGTTACTTTACACGCGTCACTACACCCGAGGTCGTCCTGATTGACAGACAACAAAGCCCTACCTTGACCGTTGACCAGGACGGTCTAACAAACGGAGTGGAGGACAAATCGCCTTCATTGAAACAAAATGATTCATATCCCCGCAAAATGGCAAATAACACAAATAATCTGTCTGACGAGCCGAAAGGGAAAAATAGTAAAGACGTATTCTTAGGGGTCACATACAAAAAAGCGTCCCGATATTACATATCTGGAATAAAAAATAATTCCACTCACATTGGTATAAAAAACTACCTAGAAAGCAAAGGAGTCCACGTTACACATCTTAGGTTATTCAAACCAAGAGGGCGATATATGGTAAGAACAGCTAAGGTCAACGTGTCTCCAAAATGTTCCCAGTTGGTTGAATCTCCGCATTTTTGGCCCGAGGGAGTGATTTGTCGCAAATGGTACAGTGAAAGAGAATGGGATAAAATGTGGGAGCAAAGTAACACCCATGAAGACTGGGAGTCTGAACTTGTTTCATCTAACAAAAAAGACTAAGCATTACAAACCATACAAAAGCCTTCTAGTTCAAAGCCCCCTCTTCACTTCACAATTATGTTACGACTTCTATCGTGGAACGTTCGAGACATTATTTCATCAACATTGTCTGTGTGTTCGTTATTGGAAAAATCAAAATGCGACATTGCCATACTGTCGGAACACAAACTTGGTAAAAATTCTAGAAACTACCTTAATAGCATACACTCTAAATACTACAGCATTTTGAAGATTGAGAGTGATTCAGAGGATTGTCCCGTTTTGCGGCACTGTGGTAAAGGTGGCGTCGCTATCCTCATCAACAAAAATCTACAATTCTCTGTAAGGGAAATTCCTTGTGACGCTACCAACAACATTGTTGGCATTCAAGTAACATTATCTGATACTGTGCCTCTTTTCAGTTTTGGTGTATATCTACCATCTGATAATGTACTTGACGACTTTAAGGCTAACATTGACATTATGCAAGGTTTATATGAACAATATTGTCAGTACGGCGAAGTCTTATTTGCTGGTGACTTCAATGCTAGTCTCCTACGCGAGTTCCACGTTAACAATGCAAAATCCGAAATCTTACGCAACTTTGTTGAACGATGTGCTTTATGCACTCCTATGATAGACTTCTGCGTTGAAGGAGAGCAATTTACCTTCACACCAAAAGAAACAATGATCGATTACGTTCTATTTGACTGGAAGATTGCAAGTAATCTAAATCTCTACTCAGTCTTTAAGGAAGGATCAATTTCAATTACATCCGACCACTTACCGGTTTTTGTATCTTTCAATCTCAAGGCAAAACTACATTTCCTGGAAAACTCTCACTGTAAACTCACGGCATGGCATAAGGCCAGTCCTGAAGCCATCACTAACTATAGGCAACACACTGAACAGGAGTTGCACAAGATACCTAATGTTCAAATATGTACAAGTGAAAACATTGAAAACTACTATAAATCAATTGTAGGTATCCTAACTACTTCTGCAAACTGCTTCATCCCAAAGTCCCAAATGAACCCATTCACGAAACCTGGTTGGACTAAAAACGTAAAGGAGCTCCATGCAAAAGAAAGGTTATTGCACCGTGTATGGGTTTCCGAGGGCAGGCCCAGAGGTATGGGTTTTCAATCATACAGTGACTACAAACGTGCCAAACGCAACTTTCGAAATGCCCACAACGTAGAGTATGAAAATTATTTAAAATCCGTTTACCGAGATTTGGATGAAGCAGCGGAAATAGACATACGTCTATTTTGGCGACTTGTCAAACAAAGGCGACCACGCTCTTCTAGAATATATCCAGAAATTTGCGACGCCAATAGTAAGATCCACACCGATCCTGACGGCGTAGCAAATGCTTTTGCAGATTTTTACGAGGAGATTTATCGTCCACTGGAAGACGATCATTTTGACGAACACTTTCAACATGTCATCGAGGGTCATTATGCACGCATCAAAACAATTGCTTCTGAGTCTTCCAATGAAGATCATATAACACAAAATGATGTTATAAGTGCAATCTCAGCACTCAAAACGCGCAAAGCCCCAGGCATTGATGGTGTAACAAATGAACATATCAAATTTGGTAGCGATCTTATCACAAGATGTCTCTGCAAGCTGTACAATGCGATAATGACGTTAGGATCTGTTCCCTCTACATGGAAACAAGGACTGAATGTTCCCATCTTCAAAGGCGGTAACAAACCCAATAGTTATAGACCTGTCGCTCTTCTGCCTTGTATATACAAACTTTTTGAGAAAATTCTGTCTAACAGAATATCACGATCCTCCTTAGAAACAAATACATTCCCCAATGTACAACAACAAGGTTTCCAAAAACAACTAGGATGTTTAACTGCTTCATTCAACCTCCATGAAACATTGAACCATAATCTGAAACAAGGCAGCAATACATATATCAGCTTCTTGGACACAAGTAAAGCATTTGATACAGTATGGAGACAAGGATTAATGTATAAACTCCACAACCTAGGTATCAAAGGCAAATTATGGCAAGTCATCGATGATCGCATTGCAATACTGTAAGTGCCGTCATTTTAAACCAAAAACAAACCAGATGGTTTAATGTTGATCAAGGGGTCAGGCAAGGTGGCGTCTTGTCAACATTTTTGTACCTTGTTTTTGTTAACGAGCTTTTGGACGAATTAGAACTCTGTAATTCAACATCGCTACGATGTGTTCTGGATCCCAAATACGTGAGTCCTGCACTAGCTGACGATATCTCTTGCAAATCTTCAAGCCATGATGGATATAGCTTACGCATATGCATGTAAATGGCGTTTTAATTTCAACGTAATAAAATCATGCATTCTGAAATTCCGTGCCAAACACAACAGTACAGCGGAAAAACCAATACTTCTTGGGAACTCAGCAATCCCATTCGATCAAAAATACAATCATCTGGGTATCATCATAAACAACAAGGCAAAACCAAAGGACCGCGTCTTGTATAAAACGATCGTTCTTGCCTCTGTGCTCTACGGATGTGAATTGTGGAGCAATTTGACACAAGAGGACTACAAGCGTCTAAACACGTTCCAACATGGAGTTTACAAAATTATTCTTAATCTACCAAAGTTCACTCGATCGGATATGTGCGAACAACTTATGGATATACTTTCTATACATGCTGAAATAGATGCCAGAAAGTTATTATTTTTAGGAAGGCTGTGTAATATGGACTCCAAGTGTCTCACCAAACAGATCTTTAACGCAAGACTCTTCTCCTTCCTGTCACATCTGGTTTCAGATCCGAGAGGTTTTATCTCTGATATTTTTGATATTCTCAGGAAATACAACTTGCTTGCAAACTTATTGTATCCACAAAATGTGCAAGTGCTTCGACGTGCAACTTGTGCCTTTCTCTATTTGACGACATTTTCTGTCATGCAACGCTTACCTGTGGTGCCCTATCTGCTTGTCACAACGAATGGTGGAACTCAATCGTTAACTCATTTGACATCAGACTTGGAGCAGAACTTTGTAGTCTCTGTGAGAATGACCTCTTTCTCATTGTCCTCGGACGGAAACCTGAAACGCTTTTAACGGAACTTCAAGAGAATGACCTTAAAAAGTAAATCTGAAATTATTAGTTTGTGCTTGCGCGCAGTATCAAAGATTATGTGCGGTGTACTCGCACATGTAAGTTTGTTGCATGGACAATTGTGACGAATATTGTACATGTAGTTGACATTTTCTTTGACGCTTTATATTTTCTTATTTGTATAAACGTAATATGATATGTACATAATTTAATGCTCTATTATGTTCTAACTAAAATCTCTTTATAGAGGAAATAAATGATGAATGTCTTGGCCGTTGTAATCTTGCTTCTTTGTGTCTTTAGGATAAGAGTGGACGTTTTATTGGCCGACATGATCGAATCCGTTCTTTGTTTAGTTTAGCCTCCTGTTAACTGTGCTTCTGCTGATTCGAGCATGGATGTTCCACTTGCTTCTCAGCGTGTTTGCAATGTCAAAAGGTTTCCCTTTAGCAAGCCATTTCAGAAGTCTACCTTCCCTTTCTGTGGTCCACTGGGATCCTTCAGATCTTATAGCTTCATCCCCATCCCCAGTTATTCTCCAGCGCTGTACTAGACTCAAAATAACAGCGTAACTAACACAAAAGTAATCACAAACCCGCCTACACAACAATCCAGTTCTTACCTGTCCAATAGCCTGCCAACTTTCAGCATCCGATAGTACCCGACGAGGTATGGATGCGCAATTCTGATAACTTTATCCCTATCGGAAAACCTCAAGCGAACATTGATGTGAATAGAATTGAAAGCTGCATTGTTCGAACACGCACTGATTGCCTTAACGAAACCGTTTTACAGGTATTTTGATAGAGTCATAATTGCCATATTAAAGCGAGTGGTCCTGTTTTGAGTAATCGTATCTCTATGAATATTTATTACCCTTATATATACGAGGTTTGTACACGGACACTTGTTCCGTATACGGGGTACTCCTTCTGAGTATTACCACAGGATACCGAACTCAATTTCAGGAACTCCCGCTTTAAAAAGATCGATTTTATCAATCATAAACCTACGTTATAAGGACACTCTTTTCAAGAGTATTCTTTTCTTGCCAATAAAATTTTTCACATGTAAGAATGTCTCATCCATATAAGTGTCATACCTGCAGGAACCGTCGGTCCCTGACAGTTGAGTAGCTCTGGTTAATTCTCTGTGACAAAACCTGCGAATGGATAAAAAATATCAATTTTTGCGGATTTTTTATACAGGAAATAAGAGATGATGTGTTGATTAGTAATGTCTTTATTATTCATTTTGCAAATTAACAGGACTGACGAAAATGAAGACTGACGTGACTAATGCACATAAAATCCGACCGATACATGTACATAGTGATGTTACTATTACTGACGTCAACGAAACATAATTTGTTAACATTTGGAAAATCTGTTATAACCTGCTTTGGGAAATAAGCTACTCGGTAAATGAAATAAAGGAACATATTTTTATTGGAGAAAACTTGAATTTCCAAGAATGTTAAAATCTATCTAAGATTAATTATTAATTAGTTTTAGGACTGCAAGAAGGTTATATAAATAGACAAAATTGGCTTGCGATGATACAATTGAAATGTATGTATATAAGATCAAATGTCCATAAAACTTTGCAAAATAGGAGCAAAGCAATCAAGGACCCTCAGAACATCGGAAGTGGGATCAGGTGCAAAGGAGGAGTGAGCATCCCCTGCTGGCCGGTCAAACCCGCCATGTGCTCCTCCTCATGATAGAGGAATATACTAATAGAAATATTCGCAGGTGAAAGATCCTTTGAAAGCTTATTCTCATGTTTTTCTTGCACTCGAATAAAAGATATGTGACTGTACTAAATCCCTTTTAATTTTCTATTTCAAAGATAAGGCGTACACTTTTTCCAAGCAATCACCAATTTTTGAACGCACTTTCAGAAGTCCATTTAACTTCCAATTACAATGCAAATTTCCTTTTATTTCTTACTGACTCAAATCCAATAATTGAATTTAATTATAAACGAACTAAAATATATGTCTTGATTTTTAGTGGCCAACTTTTTTTATCAGCTGCTTTATTTGTAGTTGTGTTAGAGTGCACATAGGGATTTTATGTGTTATTTTTTCATTGCCTTGATGAAATATTTTAAAAAAACATGAAAGTCAGGAATCAAAATTTTTAAAATTCGCTTTATATGTCGTCTTCGTGGTTCTGATTATCCATCAATTTGTTTTTTTTTATTTCTAATTAAATGTGCATGAATAAATGACTTCATAATAATTTATTGAGCTTATCTCTTTGTTTCAAACTTGATCTAAACTTAAACTGTTCCCAAAAAATGGGTAAGTGCAAATAAAGACACAAAAGGTATTGAGTTTCCAATTTAAATTACAGTGTTTAAAATAAGCAATAAATTGTTAAGAACTCCAAAGAAGTGAATTTGTTTTTAAGGACAGATGATACAAACAATTTTTTTCTTTGAAAAAAAGATTAAATATCATGTCACAAGTTTAGAAAAGTGGATGGTTCTTAGATTTTTTTTCTCCGAAGAACTGGAATATGAAAAAGACTTGGAAAATATTAGTAATATATAAATGAAAGTACAAATATTGACAAATCACATTCAGTAAAGGTTTACAGGTGAAAATTAATTTCAGAATATGTTATCTTGGCGCTAAAAGTGTAATATAAACTTAAGAAAAATATACCGAGCCAGGTGAATTTTATTAGGAAAAGCTAAATCTTTAAATTTCGCCTTTGTGATATTGCCAATTCTTGGAATTTCGATCATCCTCTTAAAATTCATCTGGCTTTGTATATTTTTCTAAGGTTTATATTAAACTTTTAACGCCAGGATAATATATTCTGAAATTGATTTTCACCTGTAAACCTCTACTGAATGGGATTTTTCTATATTCGTTTTTATTGAAATATTACTAATATTTTCCAAATCTATTTCATTTTCTAGTTCTTCGAAAAAAAAATTTCTAAGAACAATCCACTTTTCTAAACTTGTGACAAGATATTTAATCTTTTTCAAAGAAAAAAATTGTTTGTATCATCTGTCCTTAATAATTAATAATTAAAGTTGCAAAGGAAATAATGCTTTTTTTAATCAACCTTACATATATAGTGATAGAACATCTATATTATTTGGCATTATCACATTACAAAGATCCATGATAACAGCTGGTGAAGTTTGTATATCCATTTGTTATAAACAGTCAGACTTTCACAATTACAATGTAGTTATTTCAGATTCATATCCTTGAATTTATTTACTTTGTTTGATCACACTGAAAATGAAAGTACATGTATAAAAAATTGCAGAGAAAAGGTAAAGCATTTGAAAAAACAATGCACAATACATGGTTATGGAATTTTATTTACTTGAAAATTTTCCTTTTTTCATAAATTATTCAAAATGTTATAAATAATGGTAACCACGTTTTTGAAGCTCAAATTTGGGAAAAAATGGTACCGCGCTATAAAGTGCTTGGGAGGAAAAGGTAAGTTCTCCATATTTCCATAACGTGAACATAACGTTGCATAAATGAAAATTTAAAGCTTAAAATAAAATGAAACGCATAAAGGGTTACACATGTATTTCAAGCAGGATATGAGAGAGAGAGAGAGAGAGAGAGAGAGAGAGAGAGAGAGAGAGAGAGAGAGAGAGAGAGAGAGGGGACGTGGTACACTCACCAAAGAGAGCAAAGTGAAGAGAACAAGGAATCGTAACATTGTAATCCTCTCCAAACACAACAGATCTCTCAGTGATAAAGGCAGATGTCGTGTCTACTTTTCAATGAATTTTACCTTCTCTTTTAATCGCCTTTCGTAGCAGGAAGTTTCGGGTCAAGCTGCCCTCATTTGTCTTCATTCCGCTTCATTTAATTAATCGATTAATTAATCATATGAAATGTATCTGTCTACATGTTCATCTTACATCTGTTAAAAAAAGCGTGTAAATGTCAATCAATGCTTATCGATTGATTGATATGTGTTAACCCAAACAGAACACAAAATCTTTTTTTTAAGAAAAGCATTATATGGTGGTCTGTCAAGTAGAGAATATGGGTAAACGAGGCGGACTAAGTGGCTATATTGCGTCAAATATGAACTAAATAATAATATTTCAATTATATCAAAACTTTCTTTGAAAGAACAAGATAGGGTTTCAATGTATCACCCCCCCCCCTGAACTGGAACAAATAAAGAGTTTAGTCAGGAGATAATGTTTTATAAAAGGGAAAGAATTGAATTTGTATTTCTATAAAAAGATAATAAAAATAATTTCGGTCATTTTAATTAATCCTGGGTACTGATTTAAATGATTGTATTTTATATAGTCTGTTAAAAATTCGTAGTTGGTCTCTCCTCCGCTCAAATTCAGAGATATGTTCACAGTGCCCAATCTTGTTTGATGCAAGAGTTTGTCCTACAGCACATTGGATTTCATCATATTTCCATGCTGATTTTTTATCCCTACATACTACACCCCTTTCCAAAAGGCTGTTTTCAAATAATAATTATGATGCTGCAATTATTGTTTTGGACGGCACATACATGTACATTCAAAAAAGCTCTGATTATACCTTTCAACGAATGTCATTTAGTATGAACAAACACAACCACTACAAAAACCTATGGTCAATGTCGGAACTGATGGATACATTCTGTCCATTTTGGGACCTTACTATGCAAAGAATAATGACTCTTCAATCATAAACCATATTCTGAAAACTAACAGTGAAGGAATGAAGGTTTGGCTGAATGACAATGGTATATTTATTGTGGATCGTGGATTTGGGCATGTGTCAGCATAGCATACCTCAAAGAAGAGGAAATAATGTGGAAATGCCACATTATCTACAACAAGAGGCCCACGGGCCTTATAGGTCACCTGAGTATTGTGTAACAACTTTCAAACAATTAAATTTTATATTAAATAAATTCGTGTTTAAACCGGCGTCCATGAAATTCACAATTTACAATTTTGAAAGAGGCATTATTGCTTACATTGCTTATCATAATTATTAACTTAGTATGCTTACTCTATTTACTTAATACCCAGAGGTAGATCAGAGTAACATAGAGAAAATGCACTTCCACTTTATAACCAGTTGTGCACCTCACCCCAAAGGAACCACTGACCCAAGGCTATATATTTCAAAATTTTGCAAATTTTGTCATAAAATGGTTGATTAATACCAAAGAGCAGATTCAAATCATTAGAGTAAATGTCAGATGTGTTAAATTGCATTTTTTATTGATGGCATTTGCAATTTTCGGTTTTTAAGGTTAATTTGATATGTTGTTTGTAGATGTTCCAGTTAGAAAGTATAAATATTAAAGTTTAAATAGATTACGGAAACATGATCATCTGGATGTTACATAATCTATGGTTTACCAGTGTGGTATATCGAATTTCTGAACGAAATCACTGGACATTCATCATTGAAATAATATCTAATGCTGAAATATTGAAATGATGTATTGACTATATTTTATATGTTATCTAATATAGATACAAATTTTGAATCCGTTTTAGGATAAATTTCATTTGACATCTAATACTGAACTTAATGATAAATGATATATTATTTATATTTTGTATGATATATAACACCGAGCTAAATGTTGACTGTTACATGTATATTGAGCATGACGCAATTAATATGAGTTATATTTATAATCAATAATAAAGGTTAAATTCTTATGTATCACTCTATTTCAAATTAATACTATTCCTGTTAATATGCATTGATTCAACACTCAAATAGAGTTACAAATTATGACACAGTGTTATTACAGACAAATGTATAGACAGTCTAATTTTGAGTGTTATATTTATAAATGTAGAAAATAATTTTGTTTTGAAGATATTATATAGAACTAAAGGTGTAATACCTAACAAGTATCATTATCTGTGGAATTTGAGGAAAGGTACATGCATTATAGATTAACATATATAGTTGTATTTTCAGTTGTATTTTTTTAACCAAAATTTTGATGCAGATTATAACTGATCAACAATTAATATAATTCAAATGAATATTTCAGTGATTTTTAAAATATGCTGTTGCCATGTTTTTTTCGCTGCTAGGCAACTTTGTTGTAAGGTTACCAGGAAACCTTTTCTTTTATTGGGTGTCATAGTCGATACTTTCTCTGGTACTTATATGAACAACTTTGGAGAGGGGGCTGAATATAAAAGAAATCCTATTTTTTCTTTGTTTAACATTTAAGTATTTTTATGTCAATTTCAATATCAGACGCATCAGTCTTATAGTTAAAATTTTACTTGAAATCACGTAAAATGTAAGACAACAAAGATTTATGACAAACCTGTTGACTTAATTTCCATTTTTCCCTTATTTATGTAGCAATATAAATTCACCTACAAATGGTGGGTGTGTATCACCAATTTGATTCGATACAGAAAACCATCTCATACGTATGAACAATTCCTATATCAAGGTAATTTATTGACAAACCAGTTGATGAGAAAAGAATTTCAGTAGAATTGTAAATAGTCGATTAAATGACTTTGTCAGCAAATGCAATTTATCATTAAATTATTTATTTATTACAGCGTAAGGTAATTCACTTTCATTTTATCGTTCGGAATAAAAAATCAAGAATTTTAAAGGGAACTATGCGTATAAATATGTTTTCCACTGGTACTTCCATTATTCCCTACTAGTAATTGAAATAATTTACAAATTTCTTCGATGTTGTAGTCTGCTCTTTCAGCTGAAACCAGTACATACTGATCGTGCAAACAATTTTTATTTATTTATTTTTTTGATTTTTTAAGACAAAAGGAAAGACGGTTTTCATTGTGCCAATTCGATCACTAAGAAAAAGATTTCAATATCCTTAAAATTTACTTTTATAATTCTTATAGAGAATGGGGGTTTGGCCCATTCCCTATAGAAAACTTTGAAAGCCGTAATCAGTGTATATTTTCAGAAATGCAAGTAGTAGACTTTACTTGAAATAGAGTGACATATAAGAGTTTAACCTTTATAATTGATTATAAATATAACTCATATTAACTGCGTTATGCTCAATATACATGTAACAGTCAACATTTAGCTCGGCGTTATATATCATACAAAATATAAATAATATATCATTTATCATTAAGGTCAGTATTTGATGTCAAATGAATTTTATCCTAAAACAAGGTGTAGACTTTCACTTGAAATAGAGTGATATATAAGAGTCTAATCTTAATTATTGATTATAAATATAACTCATATTGGCTGCGTCATGCTCAATATATATTTAGCAGTTAAAATCTAGCTCGGCGTTATATATAATACAAATTATAAATGATACATCATTTACAATAAGGTCAGTATTAGATGTCAAATGAAACTTATCCTAAAACGGATTCAAAATTTGTATCTATATTAGATAACATACAAAAAATAGTCAATACATCATTTCAATATCTCAGCATTAGATATTATTTCAATGATGAATGTCCAGTGATTTCCTTCACAAATTCGATCTACCAGGATGGTAAAGCATAGATTACGTACCATCCAGATGATCACGTTTCCGTAATGCATTTAAACTTTAATATTTATACTTGCTAACTTGAAGATAAAAACACAGTTTCTTCACAGAAACCCCATAGTTAACATACTAAACAGAGAACAAAATGAGCAACATCTGGGCTGTCTTTTTAATAGCCGCCTACTTTACGGTGCCCCTGGCTGCTATGTTTTCCCGGAGATACGTCAGAGACTTGGACTTTGACGATAAAAAGTCAGAACATGAACTTCTAGGAGAGTATGCTATAACATTCAAAGACTGTGCAGAGAAATGTAGGAGAGATTGTAGGGTGTTAGGGTACAATGAAAGATTGAAAATGTGCCGGCTTCACAGAAATCTCAACTTGTCGACAACATCAGAGGAGGAAGGCTGGAAATATTTCTTTCATGATTGTATGTATTAACTTTTATATATAGTGTTTTGGGAATGAAATATAAGAAAATAACGAACAGTATTCATACTCAAAATTCCATTCAAACAATACAAAATAGACCAAAAATGATCTCTAAACCATTAGAAGTGGGATCAGGTGCCATGGGGGAGCATACCTGGGAAATTGTCACATTCGTCATGTGACTTTTGACTAAATGACAGAGAAGCCGTTAAAACTTCTATGTTGAACAATGACCTAAATAAATCCCTGACAGTATAACAAAAAGAACCTTGGCTATTGTTGATAGTCTGAAACGGTTTTTGCTGAAATCCATTTCCTCATAAGTTTGAAAAAAAAACAATACCAAGTATTATTGTTCAGGTATCAGATTAAATCATTACCCCTACTACCAGTTATTCAAATCTGCATTTTTATAAATCTTATTTAGAATGCTAATATTTTTTGGTGGTGGGGAGGGTTTTTTTATTTTTATATGTAGATTTGTGTTTTATTCATGAATTTGGATTTGCGTGTTGTTCACATGAGTATGGATAATAATATTTTAAATATAAACTATATAAAAATGTGTAATTAAAGCACAATTAAGGGCAAATGCTGAGATTTCTCCTAAAGCACATGCAATTTTCTGCAAGTTGATTCACATATTTTTTAAATATTTCTGTTGGATGATTTTAACTAGACAATGCATAAATGGTGATTTTGTTTCCGTTTCCTCAATGCAGATTATTTTTCAGCTTTCTAATGTTTCCTTATCATATCAATTAATGAAATTATTAATTTTGAAGAAATTCAATAGGTAAGAAAATATTATTATGAAAAAGTAAAAATAGTTTTTGATTATTTTCTTTTTTTTTTCTCATTTGAATGAATTTCAGAGATACAGGATCAAATCTTAAAATTGACAAAAAGTAGTTTTCAATTAATACGGGAACATAATTTTCTTGTAGTACTTAATATTTATAAGGTTTTGTGTGCTTATAAACTGAACCTCTTTTGCTTCCGTGAATTAAAGCTGAACACGATTCGTAAAAGATATGTATCCGCCATTTTAGTTCCCGAGACTCGTTATCCTGCAGACCCAGATAAATAGGGCAAGAATTAGAGACTGTTCAGTTTAATCAGTCGATACCGATGTAGACGGACGTATGCTATACAGGACCTGGTAGCGAGAATAATATCGTGTAATACTTCGTCTAATGCAGGAAAGTAAGATACCAAATAAATTTACAATTATAGCTGTATAAGTCAGAGAAGTATACAAACAACATAGATAAACTTAACTGCAATAAAATATATACAAAAAGGTAATGCAAGATAACCAGCACGAACATGGGTCGCCATTCCACGCCGATACCTGTGGCAATAAAGCAGTCAGGTGTAACGAAAGCGACGAGTATACCCTAGTATTGATATATTGTAGATAATGCTATAAAAATGGCGTATGCCTATTTACGAGTCGTGTTCAGCTTTAAATACTCATGTCAGGAAAAAAAAACATTGGCTGTCATTTGATTGACTGTGAAAAAGTAGTTATATCAGAAAAAACACTACCGACCATTTGATTGGTTGTAACACTGTAGCAACGACAGATGAATACAGGCGCCATTTTATTGGTTGTTAGGCTGTAATTACGACAGACAAACACTGGCGATCAATTTGATTGGTTGTTAGACCGTAGTTATGGTAAGGTTCAGGTCCGTTTGTCCCTCCCTATATTCGCTTTGGGGCAACCATGTCTTATCCACAACTTTTTTAATATCGCTGGATGCAATTTAATGGAACTTTCACTGAATCTTTGTTACATAGTGCTTATGTGCACCTTCACTTTACTTTTTTAAAATAAGTTATATCAGAAAAAAGACTAACGACCACTTGATTGGTTGTTAGGTTGTAGTTACGACAGCGGACATTGACGACCATTTGATTGGTTGTTAGGCTGTTGTTATGGTAAAGTTAAGGTCCGTATGTCCCTCCCTGTGCTTTGGAGCATCCATCTCTTATCCACAACTTTGTTTATATTGCTGAATGCAATTTAATGAAACTTTCACAGAATCATCGTTACATATCTACAGTGTGACCGGTCGGCAGGGGATGCTCACTCCTCCATGGCACCTGATCCCACCTCTGTTTCAGAGGTCCGTGTTTGCTCTGCTCTTAAATATCTCCAATAAAAATCCAGTCTATTTGTTGCTGAAATATCTGATAAGAAAAATCAATATAACAAAATAACAAATTGGAATTTTAAAAAATAGAGTGCACTTACAAGAGTAAAATTTTCATTCAAGTTCTTTTTTTTTTTTATTATTTTAATTATTATTTTATTAATGTAAAAAGCGCAAAGTCATATATAGTTTTTTTTCTGCGCTATTGTTTCAGATAAGAATATAATAAATTTAAATAAATACATTTTAGTTTAAGCTTGATATCTGTTTGTGTCTCTTTACCTTGTTATGTGATATACAAAATCTACGGAATATATAAACATAATAAAATCATCAATTGTTTTTTTATTGCTTTAGTTCTCGCCACAGACTGCCAGGATATTCTTGATAAAGGTCATTATAACAGCGGTGTGTACGACATCTACCCTTATGGGATCAGTTCTATTCCAGTCAAGGTGTTTTGTGACATGGATACAATGGGAGGAGGATGGACGGTATGCTTTTTTATTTATACAGCTTCAAATAATAGTGTATACAATAGACATGTACTTTGATAAAGATTACATGTTCCTTAGGAAATTGTTATTTAGTATTAATTAACCTGTAATTTGTTTGAGATTCAATCTAATAATCTGGGGATTGGAATTTAGTATAAGCTTGAATCTTGGCTCAAAGAGGTAGAGCCACTTTGGGCTTTTTTTGGCCTTGAGAATTTCTGAAAATTCAAAACCACTCAGTTTAATTTGCAAATGCAGTATTTATCACTTTGACTATTGTTGAGCACGTATCTTTTCATTGTGACGTAATTTCATATCTAGGCAATACATTATGACGTCATAAAATGCGACATTTTCCTCATATCCTGTAAATTGCTTTGAAAATGGCCTAAAGTTGAAGCATTTTTTTTTCAATATTTCTTATAGAGCACAACATCTGATCCAATATATACCAATGCATAATGAAAGGTCTATTTCTGAAGATCAGAAAACACTTTTTATTTTTTGGATCGTGAGCTGTGCTCATATTTTAATTCTTTGTTGAAGGTGGTCAAATACGCATATTTTCTGCAAATGTCAGGAACATTGCATTTCTCAAAGCTTATTTTCAAATATTTCGATTCTCAAATCAAACTTTCATTAGAGAACATGAAAGCACCAAGTTTCTACTTTATTTTGATATATGAAAATGAAAAGAGGGTGATAGTTAATTAATTGATATAAGCACAGGGCCATTTTATGCATAATATGGCTCTTGCTCTTTGATTTGTTAATGAGAGAGCGAGAGTATGTTTTTAGTATGCACCTGTAATTTGATTTAGATTTGATTTGTTATTCAGGAGAATTTAGTATAAAATAAGCACATTTAATTAAATAAATATTTAAGTTCTTCAGGGGTCTGATATCTGGTAATTTAATTTGAAAATTTGAAATTTCTTACTAAGGGGATAGTTAAGAGAATTGAAACTTCTTTCCAATTCCAAGTCCTGATGCAGATTTCAAAGTTTTCAAAATAATTCAACTATCATGTATCTTTTCAAGGCAATTCAAAAACGAATAAATGGATCTGTGACCTTTGACAGGAACTGGACAGAATATAAAAATGGGTTTGGTTCACCGGAAGCAGAAGTCTGGATTGGTAAAAAGTGATCTTTGTTCCTATTCCGAATGAGGACAAACACTATTTTAATAATACTTTAAAAATATCTGCGATTGAAGGATTAATTTTAAAACAAGATAATACATATTGATTTATGTACAGGGTAACATTTTTTGGACTGAGTGCTGGTGAATATCTAAACAAAATTTTGTAGTTCAATAATTGTTTAACAACTTAAATATATTAAGATAACTAATATGTACATTTAATATATTTAAAAGGGGAATACAAAGTATGACTTAATTTATATACTTCCTAAAAAAAAAAACAAGAAATGTTCTAAAGCAGATTTAGTTCATGTCACTTAAAGATGATTTAAAGAAGGTGTAATAAGACAAAGAGAAACATGCTAGCGATAAAGAAATTAAGAAGGTGTGTTTTTTTAACTGACTCTATTCTGTTTTAAATATTTAATATGTATATTATAGCTGATAAATTTCTTTTCAAATAATTTACTTAATGAGGTTTTTTTTTTATTTAACTCAGGTAATTCTTGTGTTTGTGTGATTGCAGGATTAGAATAATGATTGATTTCAATAAATCTTAATACAGGAAATGACGTAATCCACCAGTTGACAAAGGAACACACCTCCTCCCTGTATGTCTCTGTCACTCTCCAGAATGGTACAACGCTGTATGAAATGTACGACAGGTTCTCTGTCTCTGACGAAGCAGGAAAATATCAACTCTTTCTTGCAGGACCTGCAAGGGGAACCTTAGGTCTGTGTATTAATGTTAAGTTCTTAAAATTGAACACAAACCACGTCTATCATCATAAAAACTTTTCATTCAAAGATCATTACGCTGTTTTATTAAGAGTCAATGTTATTTTTTTTGGTAATACTCTGTTAACTTTTCTGTTTTGATGAAAGATTTTAAATATTTCACGATACCAGTTGTAGATGAAAATTTCGGGGACATTGAATTAGTCATTTCTTTGCAGTTAAAACTTTATTTATTTATTTATTTTCCAATTACAAGAAGGGTATGCTGTAAAATAAGAATCATTTGTAACAAGCATATCTAGAAGCTAACTTTAAAATAAAATACGCAAATCTCCTTTTTTATGTCTGCTAAAATTTCATAAAATGAGAAAAGATAATCTTATCTCATGTGAAATATTATGTCGTAAGTATAAACGTTTTTTTTTTTAAGAAAAAGGAGTTATGTCATGTTTATAATGTGAACAATATTTGTATGTTGCATTACGGTTCACTAAATTATACATTGTAAGGAGTTACATGAAAATTAAATATTTGAAATACATTTACAATTTTTTTCTTCTAATCATTCTGAATGATCTTCTAAATTTTGCATATTGCATTTTATACATTTTAATGTCACAGTCTCTGCAAGAACAAATATTTAACATACTTATTTTACAGTACCCTTTTTTCAATCTTTTAAGTGTAACAACCTATTGTTCATTATTGCCTTAGAGAAGGTGCAAATAAAATGCACAATGTATTTTGTAGTGTATTTATGAACGCCACGCAAAGCCGTCTGTCTTAAATGCACCACTGTATTATTGACAATTAGATTAAATATATGTGAATCGATTAAGTCTATGAATTTTTTTTATTTTACAGGAGACGCTATGTTAGGTTATTCTTACTACCATCTGTCTGGGATGGACTTCTCCACCCCGGACAGAGATAACGACGGGCGGAGTTGGGGTAACTGTGCTGCTTACAGTGACACTAGAGGAGGCTGGTGGTTCAATGATTGTCACCACGCCTTCCTTAACGGTCAATGGTCCCCGGGGTTCTGGTCCTGGCCATGGTATCCCACAGTAGAGTACGGGACATCAGTGAAGGGGACCACCATGATGGTCAGACGTCACTAGGTAAACATCATTACATCTTAATATAACAGTGGTCACCGGGGGAGTGGTTCTGGCCATGGTTCCCCATAGTAAGTAGTGGAACGTCAGTGAAGGGGACCACCATGATGGTCAGACGGAACTAGTTAAACATAATTACATCTTAATTACAAGTTTTTTTTATTTTATATTTCCGAAACAAAAATACAAATGACTTTTAGAAGTTTTTCAATTGAAAAATATGCTGTTATATCTGTAAACATTAAATTATTCTCTTTATTTTAACAGACAAAAGATCATCCATCAATCAGACAAATCCTCTTTGATTCAAGAGACGATTTTAAATTAATCTTTATTGCTGGACTCTTTCCTTTCAAATATTTAACATCAAGTAAAAAACATGTTAACAAATATGTTTTCGGTAAAGGAAGTTGGATTGAACTATTCTGTAAAGCGATACTGAATGTATTCAGTAAAAGATGTACTTTATATTTGTTGTAATAAATTTGAAATAAGAAATGTTTCTTTGTTATACGGATAAATGAAGATTTCTGGACGGAGAATTAGGGTGTAAATTTGTTTATTGTTAAACCTATTACAGTGTAACCTGGTTAATCCGATACATTTGCAATACGTTTTACTTTGGTGTCCGCCATTTAATTTCATTTCTCCTTTTATTTATGTTCATGATCTTTACACGAGGCAAAACTTAGCCTTGTTCATTCCAACACATACATTTGTAGTTTGCCTTCCTGTGCATGTCGGATAAAACATGCAGATTCCGTTGTATAATAGATTTTGAGATATTTAAAAAGAAAATTATTAGATATAGTACTGATAATGTTCATGTTTTGCAACACAAAACATGTAAGAATAAACTTCTCCTAAGAGATGCCCCCATATTTTTCCATGCAGTTTTTTGAATGAGCAAAATGAAGGGATTGATACAGCCAGAGAAACGAAACTTATAAGAAAAAATCCCCCCAATCGGAAACTGGTCTGAACTTCATCGAAAATCGTTTTTTGCAGGGGGTCGGTGGTGGTAGGAATCGAACTGTTTTCTGTTTCAAATTTCATACATGCAGTATTATATTACGCGTACCCAGATTTGACTATACTTTTACAAACTGCACTAAAAAATTAGGGAGACCATTTAGTAAATATTTTCAACAATAAAAAATTAAGTTTAGAAGTTACCACAGAGCCATTCAACCCCTCCAACCCCCTCTCCCCGGTTCTACGTGCATTTATCAACCTGAGCCCCCCCCCCCCTCGGATCTCCCACCCAAAGTTGTTGTTCCTTCCTCCTAACTTTGCAATGGGTTCATAATAAAAAAAATAATAATAAAAAGAAAAAAGGATATTCGTATGATCATTTCAAACTAATATTTCAAAATCTATTTTTTTTCCTTTCTAACTTTTTAAAGGAAAAACATTAGTGCAAGAAAAGAATTTTAATATAATAAAATAAGCTCACAATGACTTGATTTTCTTTTTAATTTATGAAGTGTTTTGCTTTACTTGTTTGATACAAAAACTTGCTTTGTTTTTCTCTCCATCCGTATCTTTGTTAAAGTCATATACGCTATATGAACACCAAATTTAGTATGAAACAAAATGATTAATGATTTAAAACACATGAAGTGTAATGAAAAATAATACTTTCCACAAAATTGTACTATAGATGTCGTTGTAATAACAAAACAATTAAACATATCTACGAATTAAGAATTCAGTTTTTTCATGAATATTGATGAAGGAAGTGCGCAAACAGAAGGCCTATATTTAGAAACACGTGTCCACGGGAAATCACAGACAACGAGGTATGTTGCATTTTAACAACAATTTTTAATATAAGGTCGATATAATTCATAACAGACAAGATGGTTGATACTGAAAACATTAAAATATAAGTACCATTAAGAGTAAGACGCTTGCTATCCACGTCAAAAGTGAGTAGTATCTCAAACAACCTACCTTGTTTTCTTTACGCCACGTGTGTTTATCAATCTAAAAGTGGCGACGGCGTCACGTGATGGATTTATTTAAAAATAGCTATTTTTCTTTCCTTGCAGGATAATAAATAATTATAATTTGATAACTTTGTAACGCGTTTAATTTTAATGGTGTAATTTACAGTATTTTCGTAACTTTTATTGATAAACAAATTATATCAATTTCCAATCGTATTTTAACTGGCGCAAGTTATAGCGTGTATACTTTTAAGGAAAAAATGCAAATTACCAAAATATGCCGTTCTTTTTAGTAGTTATAGTTTTGTATGCAAAGTAACTTAATTTTCCATTTTTTTCCCACGTTTTTGTTATTTTACTTTTTATCTTGCAGGTAAAACTTCAAAACCGTAAAGACCCGGAAAAACTTAAGAAGATATTTTGGACTAAAAACTGAGTAGCACCATAGTCATGTTTCCCTATAAGCTATTGTTATTCTTATTAACCAATGCATCCTAAAAGGTTTTTTTTTTTTTTTAAATGCGAACAACTTTAATCGCCCCATTCAAATCTAACAGTTTCTACAAAAGTGTGACAAATTCATCTAAAAAGTTCATGAATACTTGAAGTGGGAGAAACGGATTGGTCAATTGAACTTTGAACTTTTGTTTTGTCGGAAAGCGAAACCTCTTTAAGCCTGAAGACCATAACATGAAAACAGACTTAAGTAATCATTTTGATTTTGAATATCCGTAGTTCTAATAAAGTACTTGAACATTTTGTATAACTGTTTGACTATCAAATTGGTTTTATAAAAAATCATAGTGATTTGAAATTTTGACTATTCTCATATTATGATCCTGAAGCCTGGTGCTGTTTTGTGAGGTAGTTTAACGAAAGTTTTGTAAATCATCATGAAAAAAAAAAATATAAAAAATAAATTAATATTATAAATAAAGTGTCATAAAATAATCAACAACACCAATATAACATTTTAAAGGCTTAATAAATTGTTCACTTATCATGGGCGTCCGAAGCAAATTCAAAGGGTGAGGGGCAATTGAAATTGGGGGAGGGGGGCTAAACCAACAAAGAAGGTATACCCCAATTTTCAATGCATAGAACATGTCTATCTTTGCTTAAAAGTCATCCGAAAAATTCTGGAGTTCTTGAAGTGGGAGATACGGATGGGTCAATTGAACTTTGAACTTCCATTTTGTCACTAGCTTCTTTAAGCTTGAAGACCAGTACATGAAAACAGACTTAAGTAATCATTTTGAGTTTGAATGTCCTTAGTTCTTATGAAGTACGTGAACATTTGTATTATAATTGTTAGACTATCAATTTTTTTTAAAGATTCATAATGAAATGAAATTTTGACTATTCTCATATTATGGTCATGTGACGATCGGGCTCGAGATTCAGTTGCAATCGGGTTTTATTATTAGGCATATGGTATAGGCCGAGGTTAGGTCGGGTGTCGCTCAAGTATATATATGAGCGCATCTGAGGTAGTTGGTAATTCTGTGATCAGCTGTCAGCAGAGAAGGTGGCAAAGCAGCAGGTACGGTGACTGAGATTTAAAGACGTTTCATTATTGATTACTACAACTGCCCAGTGTTGTATTGTGTTTCCTTGATTATATACAGTAATATTAACTGTGTATATTAATTTACTTCTTATACCTAGCTGAAGCCTGTGAAGTATAAAGGGATTCAGCCGTCTAGTGACACGGCTGGGGACAGATCCCTGAGATACATACCCCGGACAGAGCTCGTCAACAACCCGATCTTTGTTCTTTGTTTTTGATTTGCTTTTATAATAAAGGGATAGATAATCCTAAAAAATATATGTATATATTGACTCCTTTTCATTTTAATCATTTTGGTAATTATTTTCTGTAGATCTGATCATTTTTAATATCACGCGGACTCATCTAAATCATCGGACCCAGAACACGTTACAGTCTTGAAGCCGGGTGCTGTTTTGTGATATAGTTTAACGAAAGTTTTTTAAGCCATTATGGAGGGAAAAACATAAAAAAATATTTTAATATCATAAATTAAGTGTCATAAATTAATCAACAACACCAATAGAACATTTAAAACGCTAAAAATATTAACTTCTCATAGGCGTAGGAAGCAAATTGAGAGTAGGGGGAGGGGCTAATTGAAAGTTGGGAGGGATGGATTAAACCCACAAAAAAGGTAAACCCCAATTTTCAATATATAGAAAATGTCTATCCTTGCAAAAAAGTCCCCCTACCCCCCCCCCCTTTATTCCCACGCCTATGCTTAATAACAATGTTGCTTCTTTATTTATTTGTCAAATTCTTCTTGATAGTACATTAAATTTCATTTAGAAGGAAAAAAATAAGATAAGTTACATTATTTTTCATTCGTGCAAGAGAATAAAAAAAGATCCCAATTACCTTGCATATATGTATGTATAATGTACAAATCAACCATGCTCTTTTGTTTCCGTCATTTTGTCTAACCAGTACTATACATGAACAGGTAGTATGGGATTTTGATTATGATAATTTGACTTCTTTTCTTTCCTCCCTTTTTTCTTTTCTTCCTGATTTCCCCCGTTTTCAATGCCTTATCACTGCTTCAAAAATTACCTCAGTATTTTAT